ACCATATGACAACTCACAATATATTTCATTTTCTTTAAACGAAATTGGTATTGACCATAATATTCTATTCGAGTCATGCTATATTTAGCCCATGTTTGGTTCGGATTAAAATCTGATTTTAATTCAAGTCAAAGTCAAACAATTAATATTAACAACATTTTTCATGGGTCTCATAAATTTTCAACCACATATTTCAAAAATTTCTATCAAAATCTACTAAAAATCTAATTTTAATCCCTACCAAACACCCTCTAAATTTTAGCCCCTATTTGGTGGGTATTACGATTAAATTTTTGTAGATTTTTATAGAATATAAAATATGTGATTGAAAAGTTGTGGATTCCATAAAATACGTGATTAAAATTAGTTATTAACTTTAATTTAAATTAAAATCTGAATTTTAATTTTTACTAAATAAGGGCTTAATTTTTACATATATACAAGCGCGGAAACAGAGGGTAGAGTTTAGTTTTTCAAAAAATCTTATTTTATTTTATTAGTTAGCTTTCCTGTATTAAACATTATTAAAAAACGTGTTCCATATTTAAAAAAAAAATTAAATGTTCGTAAAACCACCAAAAAGTGATCAGATTTTTTTGAAAGTGGAGACACAGAAAGCGATAAAAAAAAAAGTAACTTTTTTTGGGCAAAATGATGATTTTTTTTTTTTTTTTTGCACGTTGCAACAGTCTCGATGAATGAGTAAATGATCGAGGATTGGTATCAAAATTACATACATGATATCCTGTCCTCGGAAAATCATAAATAAGATTCTCTTGTCACATTAACAGTGAGAAATTTTTATTCTATCCACTGAATAACATCAATTTCAATCGAATTTATTCTCTTAGATTTTTCTAAAATTTCTCATTTTGGGGGAAAAGAAATCCGGCCCTGTTTGGGAGGGATTCTCATAATTTTACAGTAAATCAATTCTCATTTTCAACCACACATTTTTAATAACATAATATTTTCCATCACATCAATAATTTTTTCTTCTTTTTCAACCACACATTTCTCATCATATCACTATTCAAAATCAATTCTTCCCCCAAAAATCTCTTCCAAACAAGCACT